AGCAGGGTGATCCCCCCACAACAACCACTCCCAACCATCCCAACGAACGCGAAATCCTGCGAGGTAGCGAGTACAGGAAAGCCGAAACATTTTACCGCAGGGAAGACCCGTCAAGCAGAAAAGAAGGTTCCCCAGCCCATACAGCCTCACGACAGAGACGAGCAAAGAGAAGGCGAGACAGGTACCACAAACGAACGAACACCAAACAACAACTCCACCAACATCAACCTCAACCAGCAGGACTACTAGGCGAACCCAGATGACTCCCCCACAAGTATCAGAAGAAAGGCTTCATCGTCGCCGAAGGAAACGTAAGAAAGGGTGTCCGAAGGAGATTACCAGATTGCGTAAAGAAGGTAAATTATAAAGGGGCACACCCCTTTATATATTAAGGAAATCCTCCATGATCACTAATACAAAGGAAAGTTCTTAGCGTCATGCGCAGCCGCAATCCTTCCGTCAAGTCCCGCCGTCTTTCATCGCGTGGCAACACATCCTAGTCATTTTTATAAAGGAAATCCTACTATGCAACCAAGGAAACCACAACTAATATATGCCACCAAAACTCCATGCATATTCCATCTCCATAGCTGGGTGGCCGTGACAAATTTCCAGAAGTGCATATGCTTGGCCTGGTGGAGCATGGGTCCTGGGACTAGCATTCAGTATATATATGTACTGAAGGTTGTTGTTGTTTTGGTTCCTGTCACCAGATTCTGAATCTTAATAGGTGAGAGAATAGATATCTCATATGTGTTCTTGGTATGGATACAGTCTCTTGAATTTTTATTGGTACAGTCTCGTTTCCGTCATGGACATATCACATTATATATTGGAGTACCTGATGATTTAGATATCTTAAATATTTTTCAATGTCTTTGCTAATTCAAAGTTTTGATACTCAAGAAATCTGGGCTCTTATTGCTCATATTTGACAAGTATACTAATCATGCTTGATTCACAAGTCCTAGTAAATGCACAGGTATACTACAGCTGAAAGAGAATAGACTAGTACGATCCCACGTGATATAGTATACCAGGCCCTAAACTAGTTCAGTATAGTACCTACCTATACCACCAAGGAGCTATGCCCTCAACATTGCTTCCATCCACATATCTGAGATGAAAACATTCTGCCCACAGCCAAGTATATACCAAATCTTCAAATGATCAACCGTACTCTAAGACTCTGGTGCCAAGCCCATCAAATCTCCATTTTCGTACCGAAAATATACTTGTGCAGGCCCCTACAAGAAGCCCCTATAAACAGCACATCGAAGTCTGAGAAATCTACTTGCATCTACCATAGAACATTCTGCTCCCTCAGATCCTGTTCAGTAGAGGGAACACGAATTGTTACACCTCAATACTACAACCCACTACAAGGAGCAGCCTGATTCAGACTACGAATCACCTGTGGATCGTGGTCTATCTGGCTCCAAGTTCTTGAGTGATGAGAATGCACTGGAGTTAGATACCACCACTAACACCTACCTGGTATCAAGCTAACTGGCATGTTATTCCGGTGCTGACCAGCTGATTAGAGATGTGAAGGGATTAGAAGAAGAGCTACGGAATTTGAGCACAGACCTATGAGCTCCCTTTCCGACTGTACATTCTTTTAAACTTACCTCCTAGTTTATAGAGAGTAGAATCCCGAAGTCTCACATGAATGAGTACTTTTCAAGAAGTCTTGGGAATGCAAGGTTTATCAGCTTTAAATCAATGCATACACTTAAGAACCACCTCTGCTCCCAGGATCCGTACAGTTTATACATACAGTGGTTCGTAGGTCAAGTCAATAATGGCAAGAGAACCTTGTCTTTCTTCTATCAGAACATTCTTGACTGTATCAGATATCTTCGGTGCCAGATAGAGTACAAAGAGAATTTAGTTTATGTGCCACGGCATGAATAGAATCCAAATGGAGAGAGGATATTTGCTGAAATGCATACCGTGCACTGGTGCTAGGATGTCCAAGTACAATCCCTGCCCTGGATACTCCTGTATCAAGAACATGCTAACTGATAGTAGAAAACACTTCCCTGCAGTGCCATGGTGGTTCCCATTATTGGGATGTTGGACTAGACACATCTTAACAACTTCTTTGGTGACAAGAAGGCATAGCCTATGTATATTACAATCGGGAATCTTCCATCTATAAAGTGTAACAAACCTGAATTGATGGTAGTTCTCCTTCTTATGCTATTACCAATCCAACCCAAGTTCTGAAAGTCCACATCTGCGAATGACCTCTGACAACAAATCAATACCAATACTTTACAGGATGTATTCAAACTCATATTTGAACTCTTACAACTGGTAGCTCTCAAGGGAGTTGGAATCAACTGTGCAGATAGGAATGTCCATAGATGCTTCCCTATTTTAGCGGCCTGAAGTACTCACTATAAGGAAAATGTTACACTTTACAGTGTAAAATCCAATGCCTGTCCTAAATATGAGGTACCTTCAGACAAGCTGGGATCTTACTTCTGGTAATACTATCTGTCAAGAGATTATGTGGTATATGAGCGTCTTAAAGAAGAAAGCCTAGATCCTGAAACCAGTCTCCTGACTGGTAACACCAAATCCACCCTTGCTGTAGTAGGTATTAAGACCAATCGAAATATTTTTCATAGAATTTCTGGAGTTTCAGTGCCTGAGCTGCACCAGCCAGATTTGCTACATACAGTTCATGTTGGACTATTCAAGTATATGATGGAGTAGGTTCAAGGGTTTCTCAAGAACCATGGCTGACTACCAGCATTTGACTACACCTCCAGATCTCTGCCACTATACCCAGGATTCTTTGTCCCTAAAAAGGCCTACTGTGAGGTTACCCAGTAGCAGGAAAAGAAGATGAGGAACTTGGGGCCTTGTCTTTTGGCCATTCTTGCTGTTGTGCAGAGACAGGCAGACACTGCTCAAATGCAGCCTTTCAAACGTGCCCTGTCCTGCATCAACTTATTACTCAATTTCAGTCTGATGGTGCAATACCAAAGCCATACACCTGAGACTATAGACTACATAGAACAATAGCTCAATCGGTTTTACTCGACAAAGGATATTGTCCTTGAATACCAGATTTCTAAACAAACACGTGGGAAAGTTTAAAACCAGCACAGGGAAATGTGAAATCAGAGAGTGCAGATTAATAAGCCATATACCACAGTCAGGCCACATCCGATACTGGATGAGGTGTGTGATGCGGAGAACAACCAGTTCTTGGATCTGATCCATGCAGAATCTTATTTCAACATTATTAAGATACATCTGTTGGGACACTTCAGCGAACATGTAACTGGAACTAGAGTTCAGTCCGTTCGGTTCAAGGATTTGTTTTATGTTTTGTTTTACTTGTGGTTTCGAGTATCCTTTGATACTCAGTTTGTTATACTTGTAGTTTCCAGTATCCTTTGATACTCAGTTTGTTTTACTTGTGGTTTCGAGTATCTTTTGATACTCATTTTGTTTTACTTATAGTTTCGAGTATCCTTTGATACTCAGTTTGTTTTACTTGTAGTTCTGAATATCCTTCGATACTTAGTTTGTTTTATTTGGGGGTTTGAGTAAAGGAATATCAGGAAACTTGCCCATGCAGGCCATGGACGAAATCTTGTATTTAAAGACTACTGAGTCCCTTAGAGGAACAGCAGACTTCGACAGACAGAGTATTTCTAATATACTTGGTTGAACAGTTACTTCTTCAAGTTCCTATTCTTTATATCTATCTCTCGGAGCCTCCCTTAGCGCAGTACACCTATAGGTTGTAGATCAACTTATGCGCTACTCCTATTGTACCCGGAAGTGTGACTAGCACCCCAGTGTGAACACGTTACAGAACGCATATACTAGTTTGACAACATTTCAATGTATTCTACCAAGTTTGACAAGCTGGTATATAAGGAATGAATTGGAGATCAATGGCAACATTCAAATAAGAACAATGCCACATGGCAGATCCTGTACACCTACAGCCAACACTATGTGATCAGAATGAGGCTTTTGAATCTGGACTTTCTTTGAGGGCATGAAGCACACATCTCAGCCAATGAGAAAAACAAAATAAAAACAAGTAAATGAAGAAGTAGGATATTGGAAATTGCTCATCAAACTATAGTACAAAAATATTTATATAATGTAAATAAATAGTAATGTAAACTGAGGTTTTGATAGGTCTCTAGTAGTGATATCCCTAATCCAAAAGTCCTTTTAAAATATCTCAGAAATTATCAATTAACAAAACTCCAAATCCAAATCTTATTATATTTGATCCAAAGTTCTAGGATTTAAAGTCTAGCCTTTCACTGATTAGACTGGACTTTTAATTTTTAGTTCAGACTTAAAGTCCCAATCCTAGTCTAATCCTGGCAAGCCAAACACAGCCTTGCTAACTATCGTATTTCAAGGGCCTTGTATGTTGGATGCACTTGGATAATATTTGCTTTAAGCATATGGGACAGAGCAACATTTACTCTAATCAAACTTAAGAGAAATGTGACAAGGTTTGTTCTAGACAAATAGGGCAAAAAGAGCCTATAGGACTCCTTTCACAATATTGGTTTTACACTTCCAACTGATGGTTCACTTGACTCCACACTAGATATTAAAGGATTCACAGCAGACAAGATAGTACTTAGGGACTGGAGGCAAAGATATTATTGGAGGTATTAGAGATCTTCTGGCTACTGTGGATGAGACTGTGGCTGACAAAACACTTGTTGGTTTCATTTCTAATTCCAAATAGGAATATTTCTGTACTCACTACAAACTTCAAATTTATATGCGGAGTTACCGCCTGGATGTAGCTTGGTTGTTTGGTTGTTCGTGCAAGAACCGGCATGAAGAGCAAAGCTCCTTCCTGTTGGTCTCGAACCGCAGCGCCAATCCACTCGCAGGGGTCCTCTCTTGCCCTAACTGCGGGAAGCATCCATTCACGGCGAGCAGTGCGGTTCACCCGCCACCAGCCAAAGCCATTGACAGATAATGACAGGAAAACTGACACCATTTTTCTACGCCTACCCCCTAATTCAGCTCCTCGTATAGCATGATACCACCGTTGATCATACCCAGAGTTTCGCCTTCAATCCCACTTTCGCACCTCTCCAAATACCGCTTTATTCACGTTTTGTGCGAACGGATTGGCGACTGACTTCCCTCGGGATTTCTGGTTTGCATTTTGCGGAGGGCGTTGTTACCTGCAGATACTCGGTGGCGGCTCTAAATTTAGAGCTTACCGGAGCAGTCAAGTACCAGGGGGGGGGCACTTCCTAAGCGCCACTAACGGCAGAAGAGCCGTCTACCAGAGATGGAGTGGTACCGGATTGCGATATAAACTAGCTATATTGATCTAGAACGGGACTGGATCGACTCCGGAACATGTGTGTGTAGGCCCCACTATGCAAGCTAGACATGCTAAGGTGGACCGGCAACAGAAATCAACCTTCTTACAAGACGATTTCCCCGCGAAACTTGATCAGAGGTTGGCTCTCCACTGTGAAAGCTGGAATTAAAGCTAACTCTCTAAGATTGCAGTCCAGTGCAGCGAAATCCGGTATGCAAGATGCATGCAGCCTGGGATGTATGCAACATAATTCCTTTGTTGTTGTTTTTCCTTAATACAGTATACACTAAGAATTTCTGTATTGACTTTGAACATAATCCCTCTGTTTATTTCTAGCCCATTCGGGTGTCTTGGCAAGAAAAAAAAATGTGCCAAGAAGGTTTTTGAATTTAAGCAAGAAATTTTTTCTCTCTCCCTTTCTCCTTTTTCCTAACCTCCTTCCTTTCAACTCTCAACACTTCTCTTTTTCATTTGTTTTACAAAATACACTATCCTTGTCCTCCCTATCTTTCATCTCTTTCCTGGCTAGCAAAGTTTTTCCCTGACCTCCAAAGACTCAACCTCTCTTGTCACAACATTTTCTGTGTTTTACAGGTATTCTTTCCCACTTTGCCCCTTCTAGATTTATTTACTTTCTGTTATTTCCTTGATAACTTCCATTTGTGCTTAACTTCACTGGTAACATATTTTTATTTGTTTATTTAACAGCTCTGGTTTTTATCCCAAATATTTTATCTAGAAGGATTTTAACTAATATTTTTTCATAACTTATAGGGGTTTAGCCCACTATGAATTCCTCACTTCCTACCTTCGGTCCCGAGCCAACGGGCTCGCAATCCTTGTGTAGCACAAAGCTGCTCGCCATATCAGCGGATGGACAGGTCAGTACGCAGACTTACACTAGCATAGTGTTGTTTTCCCCCCTGTATTCTTGAGTATGCTTGTTTAAGAGCAATACAGTTATCACTATTGCTCGTTCCGTCTGAATCATAAATGCTAACGTTAATGTGAACTGGAGGAAATCACAACTCGTTACTACAGCGAGGAACCTGATAGGTTTATCACTGCCATAGAGCCGATTGCTAATTTTGCCTCAATTAGGTAAGTTTTAAATAATTATTTCTTCATTAATTTTTTCACTCCTTTGGTATCATCATACTTACTTGTATATCAAACCCAACAACAGAGGTCTCATCGGGTATACAAGCCCACCTGAGAAAAAAAAAACTCACATTCCAAAACTGACACCTCACTTCTCGTACTCGATATTAGCGGCGAATTGCAAAAGGAGTTAGGAAGAAAAGGGGATTCTGGCTTTGGTCAAGCAGAATCCAATCTTTCTGTTAAGGATATGATCCAGGAGGGGAAAACAGAGGCTTTTCGGTCAGGGAAAAAGGTGAAACCCAACAAGATCATCCTTACTCAAACCCTTAAAAGGTAGCAATTACTCATATAGTTGGACTTAGGGAGGCTACCATACACGAAGTAGCAACCGGGTTAAGGCAAAAGAGGAGGAGGGCCTCGGTCGAAACGAAAACACTGAGGAATATCAATCTTACGTTGCAATGCTCAAATTAGTTCCCGGCCCACCTATCACATTGAAAAACACGGTCAATGACACTCCAAGCCCTGACCCCAGTTTCAAATTCATCAGCGAGAGCAAGCTTGACGAAGGGATCAGTGAGCCAGATGCTGGCTTCATGGCTGGATGTGATTGCCCAGGTGGCTGCAAACCTGACACTTGTTCATGCAATTACGATTATCGTGGATTGAGTCTGGAATGGCTGGAGGACTCGGGATTTGCCTATGATGAGAACGGGAGAGTCACCCGTCCCAACAATATAGGTATTACTGAATGCAATATGCTTTGCAAGTGTTCAATAGAATGCCAAAACCGAGTCATTCAAAGAGGCCGAACGGTGAAATTGGAGATTTTTATGACAAGAGAGTGTGGCTGGGGTGAGTACCTTTATTTTTTGGATTTTGAATTTGAATTTACTCTTGCGAGCTTTAGCTGACCTTATGTTTTAATCCTCAAGGTTTGCGCACACTAGAGCCGATTCTCAAGGGCACCTATATCGACTCGTATCTTGGCTTAGTAATCACGCGGGCAGAAGCAGAAAGAAGAGAAGCGGGATATCGACAAAGCGGGCTCTCATACCTTTTTGATCTGGATTTTTTTGAGAAGTCCATGAATTGTGGGATGGAAAAGACCTTAGAAGCTCTCGAGATTATAGAAAATCCAGAAACACCAGATCTGGAATCGGCCGAAGCGCAACCCGCAGCCCCACTGCAGAAGAAGCGTCGAAGAACTACTTATTTTCGTGGTTCTAGGAAAAGAAGGACAAGGGGACCTTACACTGCTGGAAATGGTAGGGGGAAACAGAACAAAAAAGAAGTGGAAGAGCTATCGGAATATGAGGAGATCGGAGAGTATGGTGTTAAACGGGGAAAGGCCCTATACGAAACAGAAGAGTTTGGCGAGAGCAGTCGGGCTGCTTCTCACAACCGCCCCATCAAACAGAAGTCCGAAGTCAGCTCTGGATACAAGCTCGAGAGATCAGCATCTACTACCCCAGAAGACTACAGGCTGCGAAGTTACAGTCTAGATTCGAAAGATATGGGGAATGTAACTCGATTTTCCAACCACTCCTGCGACCCAAATCTCGATATTTACAGTGTCGTAACTGGAAGTCACGAAATTTTCACTTTAGCACTGTTCGCCAACCGTGATATCGCTGCAGGCTCAGAACTCACCTTCAGTTATAGCGGTAATGCTGGGCTTGAGCGTGCCAAGGAGAAGCAGAAGCTGTTAAAGAGTAGGAAGAACAAGAAGGGCGGCGAGGATACAGAATTGTTTAGGTGTAGGTGTGGGACAAGAAAGTGTGTAGGGTTTTACTGGAACTAGCACGCAATTATTGGGATTGGAGTGGGATCGCTCCTTGGTGTCGGCATGAGCTGAGCCTACGCACCAGTTGTATGCTAGCTAACATGCGTACAAGAGAAAAGAGAAAAAAAAAACAAGAAGGAAAGACAGAAAGATGAAAAAATATAAAAATGGGGAGAAAGAGAGAAAGAAAGAGGTCGGAGGAAAGAGGTGGGGAGAAAAAAAGAGAGAGAAAGCTCTAGTAGAGTATGAAAATCGAGAAAGAAGGGGGAAAAAAAACTCCCGATGGAAAGCCAAGTCCTAAAAAGTGAAGGGCAGGTGGATTTAGTGTGTGGGAGCAATAGATGTTTGGGTGGGGGTGGAAAGCTTCTGGTACGTATTAGGGGAGTACAATACAGCACTGTATTGAAAGCTGGAAGCAGAGATGGAATAGGAGGAGGGATGTGAAACTGGAGTGGAGAGCTTCCTTATACGTATCAAGGAGATAGCAGTCCAGACTCAGACGCCGGTAAGCCGGTCTTTTAAAGCGCAACATAGTGTTGAAGATTTTCCTTAGTCCGTTTTTTGAATCTCTACTTTTCTTTGTTTTCTTACCTTGCTACTAGCTCCCCCTATCGTTTTTTTTTACCCTTTTTGCAAAGGGAATGTTGTTCTGTTTTGGGACACATGATATCTCTCGCTACTATTCCTTCTCCCCTCCCCTCCTCGCCTCCTTTTTCCCTTACTTTTTGACACTTCGGCCTTTTACTTCCCATGAGCGTTCTTTCCCGCTTCCAACTAGCTCTTCTTTTGCTTCCTTTGTTCATTATATCCTCACTTCTTCTTTCTTCTATTCTACCCTGCCAATTTTTACTGTTTTGTGGTTTGGAGCATCTTCTCAATTGTCTCTTGCTTGCCTTTCTTCCTTTGTCGTCTTTTCCTGTGTGTTGGATTTCCCTGAACAAGTGTAGATCGAGAATCATACCTTTACTTTTTTCATCTGCTTTAGCTGGCTAGCTCAAACAATTTACTAAGACTCAGAACACGGATACGGATGGGTAGATGGAAGGTGGGATAGCCGAATTAAAAAAAAAAATCCTTTAAATTCTCGATCTTGCACGGAACCCAAGTTCTAAAAAAGTATGGCGTAGAAACCCTACAAACAAAAGAAAACAACCTCACTTCAAAACTGAGAAATAGTAAAAACTATATCTACTCCTCTTATAATTAAATACAATTTACAATTCATGAAACCAAGTTAGTATTTTTTATAAAAAGAAAGCTATTCTAACAACACACGAAATCCAATTTCTTTACATCCTCCTCTCCTCTATCCAAGCCTCAATTATGCAGCTATGAAAGAGGATAAGATAGTTTGCAGTAGGATAGCAACCAGTATATTTCTTCTCAGAGGATATAATAATACTTTCATAAAGCTAGTTGTCAAAAGTGTTCATAATCTGAGACCTGTTTAATTAACAATTGCACCACTCAGCACAATATAGTAGAATAACCATGCCAAGGTCATGTCCATATATAACGAAGAAATTATGTAATAGAAATAGAAATAATACTAGCAAATACTTGGTATACAAGTAAAGGGTAGCTGAGAAGTATTTTCTACCACTTGATACTTAAAGGCTTGGACAAGAAAGCTTCTAATTACTAAAAAGGTAGTTATTATCCCTTCTATACTGTTGATTATTTCTCTGTGAAGGGTTTTAAGAATATATTTTTTTACTAAAGATATTACTTATTTAAATGTAAATAAAATACAAGTATGAGTATAGTATTAGTTACCTATAATATAAATCATAGGTGAATATACCTTATAATACTTTATGTGAGTAGAGATAAAAGTAGTACAATTTTAAATACAAATTTTAAAGTTCAGTAGTTTAAGTCCTATCAGCTATGATATTTTTTTATTATTACAGATTTTATTTAATATAATACTATACTAGTGCCATGTTTGTAACTTTTAACATATAGAAAAATATATATATATATTTATTTTAAAGTTCTGTAGAGCTTTGCACATGGTAGTATAAATTATACTACTGAGATACTAAATTTTTATACTTACTTGAAGCATATAATACCTTGGACTAGTAAGCCTCCATAATTCAATTTGTTTCTACCTAAAATTTCCAAATTACCTCTTTTAGAATACTAGTTAGTCTCTCTGAAACTAGATATTTTAAAGATTCAAAGTTATACTTATAATAATTATTGCATGTATATTGCTTTACTGCTTTTCAATAATATTTAAAAAAGTTTAGTTTGTAGAAAAAAGCTAAGTAGAAGATAACATTATAACTGGCCTTCTGGATAGCTTCCTCAATTTAGCTTTTCTGATTATAAGTCAAGTTATAATACAAGTAGTACATAAGCATAACATTGACCTCCAGTAAGACACTGGAGATTTAGTTTAATATACCTTCCAGTTACTAACTTAATAGAACACCAAGCATGGAATTACTTTTAATTTTGTTTGCCATAGGCTACATTTAGTAAGAACTATTTTTAGTCCCTTTAATATTCAACCTAGTAATACTAAAGACTTAGTATAACTATCCTCGGCATAGTTTATATCTGTAATATAGGCATCATGTATTTTCTCTACATCTTTACTAGTTTACTATTAATTCATTTCTGAAATATCAAGAGTATTATCAGCAAACTTTTAATAATTTCTAGAGTTGTCAAAGGCAATTAAAGTCTTATATCTAGAGAACTGTACTTCAAAGACAGGGATAGCTTTTGTAATAATCTACTCTAACAATTTGTTACTATCCCACCAAACATTGCTATTATATTTTATGACTATACAAGTATTTCTATCATCCAAGTATCTAATCAGTACTAGGAGTTTTCAAAGTTAAAAAGGTAGCAAAAATTTAGCTTACTTTACTATTTTATATAAACTTAGCACATACAGAAATGGTTAACTTACTGTTACTTAGGCTCTGTTTGGTGGGAACGGAACCGTTTGAGACTATTTAATTTTCTCATAGAAAACAACCATTACAAAACGGAAGGGTAAGAAAATTTGTATGGGGAACGGAACGATATGGACATGAACGGTCATATCCAAACAGACCCTTAGCTTTACCATACCATAGGATAGAGACAGAAGTCTGGAGGTCTGTAAAGGATACTGGACCTGGTTTTACACAGCTTTACCAAATCTCTAAAATCAGATGTGATGTAAAAAGAAAAATTTTAAAAAATCAAAACCCAATTTTAAAAAAAATACTATAGCACATCCCAGGAATAATTATGTACTCTCACTGAAAAAAATCTTCTAACTTTTGATATTTTGTTGATAGAAACAGGTTTCTTACCACCTCTGTAAGATTTACTATAATCTTTGTACTTTGCCTTTGGTTACCTTTGAACTTTCAAATATGGTACCTGGAACATGAGGATGCTATTGGCTGATACCAGAAAGTAAGCTTATGCAACTTCCGGCATTTACTCATTACTGAAAAATCATGTTTTTAACTCTGAAAACCCCTACTAGTAATAAGAAGTCTGAAACATGGAAGTATTGATTATGTTCTTTCTTTCTGAGTAGACTAGTATATGCTTTGATTTCAAGATAGAGAAATCTGACAGCCAGCAGCGACCCGAACCCAATCTCAAGTCGTTGAACACCCAGTACCGTTCTCGCGAGATTCGCAACCACACTGTTACATAATTGGGGCGACATTGACACGACTAGATGCTTCTGTCACTACTCGAATTTTTGCCACTCCACACCCTCTACACCCTACCGCCAGAGGGAAGAACGGCGCCCCTGCGGTAATAGTGTGTCCAATAGCCAGCCCTGAGGGCAGATGGGAATCACCCCCCCCCTCCCCCACCCACACACACATTCCAATAGTTATTACCGGGGTAAATCGAGCCCTCCCGGAGCAAGCATTATCTCCTGATATTCCCAGGGGTAGGGAGTGAGGAGGGGCAGGGACGGTCCCTCCAGGTAAAGTGCGATGTAGCTTGTTGAGTGGGGTACCGTAGGTGAACACTGGGGGCTCTCCCTTTCGGAGAGTTTCCAGAAGAACAATCGTCAAGGGCTACTCTACTTCCCTTGTAATACTAAATGGGCCCAGAAATCGCTTTAGGCAACCTCCACAGTAGGTCTCTTAGTCATGCTAGCAGAATTAGTTTCAGAACACAGTACGACGATTACCAGTCCCGCCCAAGTATCCCACTCCCTTTCCACACTGTCAACTGTTGTTTCACCGGGTCGATCACTAACCGATTGCCTCGACCTACAAATGACATCGTTTCGCGTAGCAATCAACCCCACTATCAAACTCTATTCGTAAACTTTTGATCGCTTTTATGGACGGGCGCTGTTTCTGGGAAGAAGTTCGTTGCTGAAGCTGGGGGAGGACGGCGAGCGAGATCTCAGCCCACATATCATACAAACTTCGCTAATATTGAGAACGACAGTTTCACCACACATCTCGCTCCGCCTTCTTGTAGCAGAGCCACAAACAGACCAAGGGGCAGAAAATCGATTGGAAAAACAGTAAAGAGACTGCCAATTTTGTGCACCTGAGCGGAAATCTAGAATTGCCTCGACACAGTAGAGCCCCTATCGCAGGTATATAATACACGTTTCACCAGATCCACCGGGATGGCTCACTCCTCTAAGCCATTTAATTACTTCTATTTCTATTTACCACCAAAGCCAGCCTCCCTCCCTCTCCCTGGCAATGCAGGTTTTTTTCTTTTTCTTCTCCTTCTCAAACAGTGACCTTGTGGATAGACTGTGCAAGGTACTTGACGTTATCGGAGGTGATACCAGCGACTGAGATCCTACCGTCCTTAGTTCCGTAAACGGAGAACTAGTGTGATATTATCAGGACTATATCCAAAAGATGGACAGACAGAAGGGGTTATCCTACCTCCTTGGCCAATCTGTCAACTTGTTCTGGCCCTAGGCCAGTGTAGGCAAACATCCCAATTTGTGAGGTTATATGGTTCCAATCGCGCTTGCTACCGATTTGCTCGAGGTTGGTCTTCAAGGCCGCACGCATAGAAATAATGCGGTCAGCCATGCCTTTCACCTCACCGAGCCACTGTTTATTGAGAGTAGGGTCGTTTAGAATCTCGGAGGCAATCCGGGCGCCATTAACGGGAGGGTTGGAATACAATGGGCGGACAAGAATCTTGATTTGAGAGTCCAGGCGTTTTTTCCCCTCTGCCGACTCGGCAAGAACGGAGAAAGCGCCAACACGCTCACCATACAGACCCTAAAGATGCAACACAAATCAGTACTCCATACAAGTAACGTCGACCTAAAAACCAAGCACTCCAGCGCACCATGTTCTTCGCAAAAGACTGGGCCAAAGCCACAGGGTGGCCTTGCTCAATAAAGTAACGCAAGGCGTAAGCATCCTTATCGGTATCACCACTTGCGAACCCTTGGTATGCCATGTCGAAGAAGGGGAAATGACCGCCACTCTTCACAGCCCCGCTAATCGCACGCCATTGCTCTGGGGTAGGGTCAACCCCAGTAGGATTATGGGCGCAGGCATGGAACAGAAATATCGAGCCCTTCGGCGCATTCACAATATCCTCAAGAAGGCCGTCAATGTCTAACCCAATAGTCTTTTTGCTATAGTACCTATAGCTCTTAATGTCGAGCTTGGAGTCCTTCATAATAGCCGCATGGTTGGCCCATGATGGGGTTGGCAAGTAAACGGTCTTAGCATAGGGGTAGAAACGTTCAAGGAACGCGCCACCAACGCGAAGAGCACCCGTTCCAGAAATCGACTGAGTAGCGGCAACCCTATCGAGCACAGGAGACGACTTTCCATAGGCAAGCTCAATGGCAGCCTTTGTGAAAGACGGGACACCGGTGATCCCAGCATATTCCTTGTCGAGGGCTTTCATGAGGATGCGCTCCTCCGCAACACGGACCGAGGGTAGAACATATGGCTCTCCCCTGCCATCACGGTACGCTCCAACTCCTAAAAATTGCTCAGCTACACCTGGCCAGGTGAGATTACAAAACCCTTACCCAAATTAACCTTGAGCTCAAATTTGTCCGCCTTATACGCCTCAGTAATACCTGTTTTTCAGTCAGCTATTCATTCAAAACGGCAGCTTCCAATTCTAGAAGCAGAGCAGTACGCTTGAAAATAGCCAGCGGGTAACAAGGACACGGAGATTCTCAGCCCAATGTTAGAGATGGAGTCCTACCGAGAATTGCCTTCCAAGAGAAAAACATTATCGCTTAGTAAACAAGGTTCGAGACATTCGGCAGTACTAGTAAACCAAATACTCACATCCTACACAGGAGCCATTAGGTTAGCAAATGTCCTCATAAAGCCATCATTTAGACAAATAACTCACGGGAGGCCCTTGCGGAACATTGCTCCAAGTGCTTCCAGCCCTAGTGGTCGAGACCATGCGTATGGCCCAGGGAACCCTGGAAGAAAAGAAAATTCTAGGGGAAAGCATTTTTGGGCAGCAGAGAAGAGCTGAGGGAAGAATGTTCTAAAGAAGGGGAAAGAAGCGAATAGTGGGGTTGAATGAAGTGGAGGGGAGAAATGTGAAGGTTTGTATGCTCAGGGATCCAATTGCCAGGAGAGATGAATGAGGTTCTAGAGGGATAAGGAGACTTGGGATAGTTTCCTTGTCCTACTTTTTTTTCTTTTTTCTTTTTTCTTTTTTCTCCCCTCATTTTCCCTCTTTCCCACACTCTCTACTCGTACAAGTACTCAGCAGAGCAAGCCGTTCCCGTACCTCCCGCGAGACCCGGGGCCAACAGCCACAAGTGTACGGTACTCGAATACCGTACCTGCACGGCATCATGAACCGGAATGACCGGGTTTCCATTACAAATCGGGGCTGTAAGTGATGTCGTGGATAACCTTCTGAAAAACCATCGGGCATGAAGAGAGGGTGCCATAGTTCCGAGAATTCTTTTACCAATTTGACTTTGTCCTCTAAATCGAGTACATGACCTAAGACACACTGCAAAAATCCCGGGTACGCTATTACAAGTGCTCTAGTGTGCTCTGTAACCGCTTGAGCATACTCGAGTACCGGTACTTTGACAATAGTCTAATTCCCAAGCACTTCACCGTACTGTACTCGTACAATACAGGACCAGTATCACCCAGTGTGGTTAGGTGATCCTTGAGGCCCAAAGATGCGGCTAAACAGAACCTGCATATCGGCAGTCGGGCCAACTGGGCCTACCAATCAAACTGCTTATACGAGTGCTGTACGGTATAATACTCGAGTACTCGAGCAGGCTATCTTTGGCACAAACATGCTCCTTGGTAGGGTAACCTATGTTTTTCTCCGCTCGCCTGCCCTCAGAACGGCTCCGTTTTTGGTTTTAAATTTTTTTTTTTATCTCATAATTATTATCGTTTGTTTATTAACTAGGTACAAAGAATGCATGTACAGTTATTCATGGATGGCACTAGGCCCCATGCCTGTAAGGTGATAGAAACCTCCAACTACAGTCCACTTACCTGCTATGAGTAGTGGAAAATCCTTTCAGGTACAAAAACCAATACCCAATAAAAAGAGGCTGAATACAACAAACCCAAAAGCTCCACAGATGTACAGCAATAAAGGAAACCTCTAGCGCAACAGTGAGACCCAGTTAGACCCCTAAATTAAAAACTTCAAGTCTAAGAAAGGAAGTAGGAAATCCTCTCCACTCTTCCAACTCCTATAGTTAAGACTACTATGACCTAAACCCTACCCACCCTGAGATACCCCTCCTATGGTGCATGCCGTTTATCCACAGCATCAAGGTGGATGCAATGGGGGATGCCTTGGCATTGCATTTCCTCTCTAGAAAGGGGATTTAGATTTCAATTTTAGGGCACACATAGTATTTAACAGGATTGCATAATAGATGAATTTCAGATACCTTAATGGCTTCAACTTATACCAGTGAAAGCAGTACGCTCAACTACCCCATCTTATTGGTTCACCAATCCCACTAGTGGAATCCAATAATGGCATCTCCAAATTCAACAAATTCCTCCACTCTACGCAGCCGCCTCTGCTTTGTACGAATTTGTCCAGCAAAAATTCTTTCCTAGAGTAGTGCTACTGAGCAGCTATCCCAATCATCTCAATCTGCTAATCCAGCTCCTATCTTTCCTTTACAAAGTCCTGCTGGTAAACCTGAGGCCGTTCATCAGCAAAAGTTTACTCTTGTATCCTGTGCATCCTGTGCATCAGATGCACAGGACGCACAAAATGCAAACTGTTAATTAGGATGTCGGCTGAATCCGTTGTTGTGTTCTGATGTTTGCATCCACACCCTCCTGCATCTTGATGCTTACCGGACGAGTGGCACTCCAACAGCCCTGCATTGTGACCCTTGCTAGCTTGATTCCGGGCTTCCTGACAATCCATACCCTTTCTCCCCTAGCATTCCAAGGCCCCTGCTACTCCTGCCTGGCATCCTGACGTCCTTACTACTCCGGGCCGCCGTCCGGACACCTCTGGACCTTCTGCCCAGCATCCCATCCATTTGGCCATACCTGCTTTGCGTCTGGAGAATCTCTGCTACTTTTGCCTCTCGCCGAAATGTCCATCAACCCTCCCCCTGCATTCCAATCCTGTCCACATAAAGCCAGTTCTGTTTGGATGACTTAATCTATATCGCTTGCCTCCCACCGCATGTCTCGTCCGCTCTCCTCCTCCTAAGTTCCTGTCCCTGCTCCTGTATCTCATGACTTCGAAGAACTACTCCTGTGTGCCCCGAGTATTATATTACTCACCTCTTCCATCCTGATTTCATACTTTCAATTGACGTTGTCGGGATTTTCTCTCCATAATTGGAACCTACTCCACATGTTCTGGGACTTTCGGTAACCACATCCAATTACAATTTGGTCTCGATATGTGCTGCATATACTCTATTTACTATCGTACGGTGTCACATGGGCCTGCCATTTTAATCTATTGAGTACACTAGGTGCTATTGAAGCTTGTGATCCCACTGGCACCGCCGGTACCCATATGCACCCCGTCGAGTCCACTCTCGATCCCGGTCCCACCGACCTGTTGCCTCCTCTCTCTCAATCAAAACTCTCTTCCTGCTGTCCTTCTATAGCGGTCACCTGCCCCAACTGTGAATCATCCAGACTAAGCAAGACACGTGATGAAATACATGGACTGTCCACACTCCCCAATGTTGGATGTCCCGTGTATTCTGGTGTATCGTCTAGACTATCCTATTCAAAAGCATGAAAGTCAAGTGACCATCCAATGGCTGTTTGGCTAAAATTGGAGGCAACATCGGGATGGGACGACTGTTCCCACCTATCCTGGTGCTCCAAATAGGCCTCTAGAGGGTAGTTGGTCATTGTCTGTCTACCCTGCGAGGATTGGCTTAGAGCCTGATTGGATTTCCTGCACTTGAGCTCAGCACTTACAGCGTCAACGTCATCATCATATCCTTTTACTCAATCATTCTGAATCCCGTATTGTTGCTGGACTTTTTTGGTGATGATTTGGTGGATATTTTAGACTACTAGCTCCTGGATCTGCGCGGGAAATCTATGCCATGTTTGCCTCTGGCATGCCAAGAGGTCTTAAGTGAGTGACGGGTTAGCCAGACTCCTTCACTATGGCCTACTAGAATGTTGTGAGATTCTTACCCATAACAATATCAGGCTTGAAGTCCTTTGGCTCTTCGTACTTACCTCTTTGCCACACCCGAAGAGTGTGGCATAGTATAGCGTAAGTCAGGCAGATCATAGGTCCGTTGATCCTAGATAGGAACTCAGGATCTATCCCTCCTTGCATTTTCTCTCAGGAAAAGAAATTATGATATATGGCCTCGGGAATCTGGAGCACAAGGAATAGCAGGATCAGACGCTGTCCAAATTCATACATAGTTAGTCATGTTACCCAATAGCCATTACTAGTTATCGTGGTAGCAAACCTCATACCTATTTGGGTTGCACATGAACCGGTCTCCTTCCAGAAGATACAAAACTCTACATGCGATGGCTGCTGCATGTTGTGGCAGTGGCAGTTCATATAACTTTACTATGTTATGCTTCATATGATAAACCAATTGTGACCATACGCCTGAGTGCTTTTGGCGTATCTATCAAGGTTATTATAATTTGCCATGTGTTCAGACGTCTAGGTTGGATCATATACTATTGTTATGCTATCCTCAGACAGTTAAATACGTCTGCAACCCTCACTCATATTCATTGCATCCTTCTAAACGCTGAATACTTTGGCTGTCAGAACAACTACATTAGGTAATAGGTCATCAAAAAGAGTGTATTGGAGAATCAGATCCCTGGCCAGCCGTAATATAGAACTTTTAGGTCCTATAACATTATTCTTCTGGCTGCTACTTCTGTGCCAGTTAACGTCACGTTAGGCTACATCTAGATAATCTGCCAGCCTAGAGCTTCTGATATCCAAGGAAAGCATACTCGAGCGACCCAGTGGAGATGAATTCCTTGCTGAGCTTGACGATGGAACACCAGGAGTGGAGGCCCTACTACAAATAATGCGGGCAGGGACAGCAGGAATTGGCAGAGAAGGGCCAGATCGCTGTGATCCGGCAGTAGTTGAAATCCGAACTGTTTTCCCTTGGTTGGTATCCTCGCTGTTAGCTGTCTGTGACCTCTGATGGCATGGGGTGGCACCCCCATCACTGAGATCAATGTCTTGAGCATCAATGTCGATTTCTGATTCTGATTCTGAGGAGCACAGGGAGATTTGGTACTCATCACTGCTATCCTCTGATATATGGACAGCTTCCACATACACTTGGTCTTCAGCATCAGTTTCGGGGTCGGGATGTACAGCTCCCTGCATTGTGCTTTTACGTGAGCGCTTCGCTGGTCTTGTTAGTTGGCTTGTTGTTTACGGGGTAGAAGAAGGCGGACGTGATGTCTGGTCATTCCTATGTGTGCTCTTGGAGCTGTGTGAATTGTTTTGTTGAGATTTGGATCCTGTTGCCCCAGGTTCCATGGGGCCAGGTCCGGTATCGCGTTTACCTCTACACATATTACCAATACGGGGGGTTGGTTGACTGTCGAGGCAGGATCGTTGCTCTATTGGCCTGATGGAAAAGTTACACAGATAGGAGAGAGAGAAAGCAGTGGTTAGAGAAGTGTAAATAGTATCTCCGTGATAAAATCTGGAAATTGTATAGGTTTCTTATGTTCGTTAGGATGTGGCAGGTCTTATATACTAGAGCTATGGATACATCCAGATTCATCAAGTATCACTTGGTATTGATCTCTGGGGTTTGATTACGAAAAAGTTGATTTCCCAATGTTCAATATAATGTTCACGATCAAACACCAAGGTCTCTAACTATCATAGGATGTGAAGTCTAGGGTAAATAAAAGAGGAAATGAAGGACATGGCAGAGGAGAGTGGCGTCTAAAATCTAGTGA